GTAGCAGGCTCTGGTGTCTGTGCCAGGACTGTTGTAGCTAATGTTAGCTGTGGTGTCTGTACCAGGACTGTTGTACCTAATGCTAGGTGGCTGAGCACTCGTGGCAGCCCCGCCCCGTAAGCGTTGCTTCCGTACGTAGCGTTATCGACATGATTTTCTCTCTATTTTGTGCATTATTCTTCATAATAGTGATGAGTCCCAAGAAAGTGAGTGGTGAGGATGGTAGTGAGTCAATAAATATGAGGGTGGTGCACGCGAGTGATCTAGCACGCACGTATGATCGCAGTGCATCCATGATATGTATCATCCTAAAGTAAAAAAAAAAAAAGTAAGTTAAGTTTAGTTAAGATAATTTTAGGTTTATGTAAGTTACGTAGTGTACGGTACAGAAGTGTCTATGTACGAGCCAACTCTCTTCCCTCCCTCCCTCCCTCCCTCCTCCTCCTACTCTGCACATGTCGCTATTAGCCTCTACTGTATCGCCTGTATCGAAGGTAAGAACTGAAAATTAAAACCACATTTTATTTTATATCACATGAATTCTTATATACTATAATTCTTTGTGTGTGTATGTCTCTATAACAATTAAAAACGTATTCCCATTGTTATTAGCACTAATAAGGGAGTTTTTTAGAGGGCTGGAACGGATTCATTTTCTTTCTGTTATTTCTTTTGGGAAAATATGATTCGAGATACGAGCACCTCGAGTTATGAGCTTGGTCCTGGAACGGATTATGCTTGTATCTCGAGATGAGGCATGCTTTCACTCAGGTCACATTTAGGTAGCAGGTTTCATGTGATTGTCAGCTTGTACTGATTGAGAGACGTCTGATGGTGGAAACATAACAGGTGTTTGGTCAATTTCAGTAAAAGTAAAATATCGATTCTCCAAAAGTAGGCTTTATGTGTGTGTGGGTGTGCGTGTGTGTGTGTCAGTCACAGTAATATTCTATGCTCCTGCACAGTGGCTGAGGTTTACAGACACACACTGAGACCCACACTCTCTCTGTATTTATTTGTACTTGTTTTTCTAGCTTGGTGAGGACTGTGGTGTGTGGCCTTAAACATTTTTTTTTCTGGTTTCACAGCCTCTTGCAGACCTAATGCCGATGCTAATAAACCATGGACTTTATATGAAACCTCCTACGACATCTTTGGTCACAGGCATATGAAATGTCGTACTGGGAAAGAAAAACTCCATTTAACCTGTCCATGAAAAAGAAAAAGACTTTCTTTTCTGCACATCTTTCACCATTGCATTATTCTTTAAATCATTTCTGCTCCAGCCTCTCTCCCTCTTTCTCTCCCTCCTCCTCAGTTCTCCTAGCAGATGGAAAACTCCATTAACTACCTTTTAAATAATCATCTTCCTCACCATCTAATTGCTGTTCTTGACAAACGTAGAGATGATTAAAGCATGTATAAGCAGCTCAGTGGTGCTGGTGGAGGGCAGCAGTTCACCCAGACGCTTAGTACGTGTATATGTGTGTACATGTGACTTCTACAACTGTTAATCTGGTAGGAGTCAGAACTGTGGTTAATTGCAGACATTGTGAGTGTGAATCTGAAGCTATGAAAGGTCAGAGCTGCTGCGGGAGAGTGTTAAATTCTATTCTATTAAATATTAAATTTTGTTCTATTAAACACACACACACACACATAAAAACACACACAAAGAAAATGCTTAAGGGATCACTGACACAATTTACAGATAATAAAACGAGAAATCAGTTGTCTGCATTTTCTCTTTTTGCCTCCAAAGACTTTTTTTCTATGATTTGTTAAAGATGAAAAAAAAAAAAAAAAAAAAAACTCTTTCCAAACTTTCAAGGTTGTTATTGAACTTCAGATGACAAATGTTAAATTTATTGCACTGACTGCAGTTCTTTATAGCTAATATTCCTTTTAATAGCTGAGCCAGATGCAGATAGCATCCCACCAGGACAGGGAGCTCCGTCTCACTAGTTCGAGCTAATGTGTCATTGGCCTGAAAAACCATTAGTTCTGGTGGTGTTTGGACCTGTACTATTTAATGTTCATGCTGTTGCTGAAATTGAAGTTGCTGCCCACAAACCAGTTTTACTCCAGTCACCAAGGACTTTATTTGAAAGTTGTGGAACTGAAGAGTGACTGAGTGAAGCTTGTGGGAAATGACTTACAAATTACTGGTTAACAGAATAAAAATCTGTTCTTGAAAAAAACAAAAAACTTACATTGAAGGAAACTGTAAACATTCAGTAACAGTAAATAATGATTACTAAAAAAAAACAAACACCTGTATTCAGACCTGTGTCATTTCTGTGTGT